TTAATACAATTTTCGCCTAATTTTCAATTTTGATTTCCCTGTGAATAGTACGGTAGATAAAATTTAACCCCGGTTTATTATAATACATTATTGTTTTTATCGAAAAATGTTTTATATAATATTTGTTTAAAATATCATTTAAAATTGTTTTTATTAAGAAATTTTTGAAAATTTCACAGCGTGGCTCTAAATACCGCTAAAGAGTCATCATTTTGAGGTTATCTTAATAATTATTGTTAATATCAAAAAGTTTTTCAAATAAAATATAATCAAATTTTAATTCTAAAAAGATTATCTTAATAAAATATTTTGATATCTCCACGCGGTGATGCTGTATATAGACATAAAAAATTAAATTTTTGAGGTTATATCCTTAATTATTGATTAAATCAAAAATATTTTCTAACAATGTTTGTTTCTAATTGAATAAGCAACAATTTTTCTTAATACAATTTTCGCCTAATTTTCAATTTTGATTTCCCTGTGAATAGTTCGGTAGATAAAATTTAACCCAGGTTTATTATAATATATTATTGTTTTTATCGAAAAATGTTTTATATAATATTTGTTTAAAATATCATTTAAAATTGTTTTTATTAAGAAATTTTTGAAAATTTCACAGGGTGGCTCTAAATACCGCTAAAGAGTCATCATTTTGAGGTTATCTTAATAATTATTGTTAATATCAAAAAGTTTTTCAAATAAAATATAATCAAATTACGATTCTAAAAAGATTATCTTAATAAAATATTTTGATATCTCCATGCGGTGATGCTGTATATAGATATAAAAAATTAAATTTTTGAGGTTATATCCTTAATTATTGATTAAATCAAAAATATTTTCTAACAATATTTGTTTCTAATTGAATAAGCAACAATTTTTCTTAATACAATTTTTGCCTAATTTTTAATTTTGATTTCCCTGTGAATAGTACGGTAGATAAAATTTAACCCCGGTTTATTATAATATATTATTGTTTTTATCGAAAAATGTTTTATATAATATTTGTTTAAAATATCATTTAAAATTGTTTTTATTAAGAAATTTTTGAAAAATTCACAGGGTGGCTCTAAATACCGCTAAAAAGTCATCATTTTGAGGTTATACTAATAATTATTGTTAATATCAAAAAGTTTTTCAAATAAAATATAATCGAATTTCGAATTTAAAAAGATTATCTTAATAAAAAATTTTGATATCTCCACGCGGTGATGCTGTATATAGATATAAAAAATTAAATTTTTGAGGTTATATCCCTAATTATTGATTAAATCAAAAATATTTTCTAACAATATTTGTTTCTAATTGAATAAGCAACAATTTTTGTTAATACAATTTTCGCCTAATTTTCAATTTTGATTTCCCTGTGAATAGTATGGTACACTATTACAGCTGTCAATTACACAGTCACAGAAATAATGCTTCATTTTAATGGTGTGCGGTTAAAATAATCTATTCGTTTCTGAAATAATAATTTTTGAACCCAACCCGAATTTTCATCTTGAAAAACACAATTTTTTACACTCAACTTTAAAAAAAATCGCTAAAAATCGAATTCTTAAGATATCTCGATGAAACATTGGCGACTTATAAAGGAAAGTGCGTACTTTGTGATGAACAACACCCCATTTGAAAATCTCTATTCGTCACTGAGATAATAACTTTTGAACTTAACCCAAATTTTTATTGTTTTTAGAACAACCTGAGGTTTTCTGGCTTAATCTCATTAAGCAAAGTTTTTCGAAAGCTTCGACATGATAGGAAGCAATGATATGTTTTGGGCGATTTTATGTCATCATTTGCTACTTTCCAGAAATCTTCCATATCACCTTAGCATCACAATGCTTTTTCGAAGGAGTTTGAATTTGAGATATCTTTTAACCATTTTAAACGGAGATATTAAATATATATCTTTTGTTAAGTAATTGAGTCAAATCGATTTTGAGTAATAGGAGGAGTAGGTAGAGATGTCAGTAGTGAATTGCTTTACATATTTGAATTATTAAATGATTCCAATTCGGGTTATGGGTAGTAGTGTAGCTAAAGCCCGGGGTAACAGACACCGAAATTGCCTTCTCCTCCTCCTCCACATCGCACCAACTCGATGGTACCCCGTCTCTATGTGTGTGTGTGCCCTTCGTACGACAACGATATCATATGCATACATTAGCCGATACCGTTATAATTACTGGGGTGTCTCTATAACGTCAGAGTGTGTACCAGTTAACGTTATTAGACGATACCCCAAGGGATAACGATGACTCGAACGTAAAACGACGTTATGAAATCATAAAACTTAAAAATTATTGCCGAAAATTTCCCTAAATAATGTGGATAAAATAAATTACAGGATGTTGTTCATTTTAAGAGTCAAATGTAATTGCGCTAACTGAATATTGCAAACAAAGCAATTAGGGTTTATGAGATGTGGGTGTTGGTTGGATAAATATTATGAACGAACTGTATAAAAAGATAGGTTTAAAAATCAATTCGAAATCAATTTATTATTTGAGTCAATTAAATATCATTTTTTTCTCATAAACCAAATTGAATCTTGAGAAATAAAATGGATAGGGGCGAACGATTGAAACGCACTTCTAAAGTAAGTCTCGGTCTTGTGTCAAACTAATAAAACTGTTGTTTCCATCGATGCCATAACCGCGCGCGGTTCCTAATTGAATCAACGCAATTGATAGGTCTAATTCGAGAATTAGAGCCGAGTAGATTGGACTTATCAATTAAGGACGTCTTATTTAAATGTCGCGTCGAGAAGACCAGTTTATGCGCGCGGTTTGTTCTCTATGCGGGGGCAATTGCCTGGAAATAAAATTCAATGGGGGCGCAAAGGGGTTCCACTCGAGGCACACTTTGGCGACACGACAAAAGCGCATCCTGTATAACACCCCCGTTTTATTATTATTCCCTTTTTTTATTTGCTTTTTGATTTGAATTCATTCAGAGTTTTTTTTCCAGATTGGCGGTGCGGGTGGCAGAGGAATGTTCTGCTACCATTGCCCGCCATCATTGCATCCAGGTGCTCCACAACCAAGATTACCACAACTGGAGTACCCATTCACCCCCACACACCCTTGTAAGTACATTTCCACATACAGTAAAACCTCGATACAACGGACTTCGAATTTAGCACAAAAAATTTTACTGGACCAACTTTATATTTTTTAAATGGGGCATATTACAAAAAAACTTTTTGAACGAAAGTTGTAGCAAATTCTATTCTTAACAATATTGCTCTCTTTCATTTTTGCTCTCAGATGCGTCAATATCGAGAAAAAAACAAAAATATGAAAATTTGCTCAATTTATTGTTTTTTCAAGCAGTTAATGGTAATACTTTGGAAATGGAGAAAGTTACAAAAAAACTTTTTGAACAATAGTTGTAGCAAATTTTAATCTTAACAATATTGCTCTCTTGCATTTTTGCGCTCAGATGCGTCAATATCGACAAAAATATGAAAATTTGATCAATTAGTTGCTTTTTCAAGTAGTTACTAGTAACACTCTGGAAACGGAGCATATTACAAAAAAACTTTTGGAACAATGATTATAGCAAATTTTGTGCTTATCAATATTGTTCTCTTGCATTTTTGCTCTTAAATGCGTCAATATTGAGAAAAATACAAAAATATGAAAATTGGATGAATTTGTTGGTTTATTAAGTTGTCAATGGTAACATTTGGCAATCGGAGCATATTATAAAAAAATAATTGTAACAATAGTTATAGCAAATTTTATTCTGAACAATATTGTTCTTTTGTACTTTTGCGCTCAGATTCATAAATACGAAAATATGAAAATTTAATGAATTGTTTGCTTTTTCAAGTTATTAATGGTAACACTTGGGAATCGGAGCATATTACAAAAAAACTTTTAGAACAATAGTTACATCAAATTGTATTCTTAATAATATTGTTCTCTTGCACTTTTGCTCTCAGATGAGTCAATATCGAGATAAACATAAAAATATGAAAATTTGATGAATTTGTTGTAGTTAATGGTAACATTCGGGAAACAGAGCATATTACAAAAAAACTTTTGGAACAATAGTTCTAGCAAATTTTGTTCTTAACAATATTACTCTCGTGCACTTTTGATGATGCGTCAATATCGAGAAAATCGCAAAGATATGAAAATTTGATGAATTTGTTGCTTTTTCAAGTAGTTAATGGTAACATTCGGGAACGGAACATAATACAAAAAAACTTTTGGAACAATAGTTGTAGCGAATTTTGTTCTTAACAATATTGCTCTCTTGCACTTTTGCTCTCAGATGCGTCAATATCGAGTAAAACACAAAAATATGAAAATTTGATGAATTTGTTGCTTTTTTAAGTAGTTAATAGTAACATTCGGGAACGGAACATAATACAAAAAAACTTTTGGAACAATAGTTGTAGCGAATTTTGTTCTTAACAATATTGCTCTCTTGCACTTTTGCTCTCAGATGCGTCAATATCGAGTAAAACACAAAAATATGAAAATTTGATGAATTTGTTGCTTTTTTAAGTAGTTAATAGTAACATTCGGGAACAGAACATAATACAAAAAAACTTTTGGAACAATAGTTGTAGCGAATTTTGTTCTTAACAATATTGCTCTCTTGCACTTTTGCTCTCAGATGCGTCAATATCGAGTAAAACACAAAAATATGAAAATTTGATGAATTTGTTGCTTTTTTAAGTAGTTAATAGTAACATTCGGGAACGGAACATAATACAAAAAAACTTTTGGAACAATAGTTGTAGCGAATTTTGTTCTTAACAATATTGCTCTCTTGCACTTTTGCTCTCAGATGCGTCAATATCGAGTAAAACACAAAAATATGAAAATTTGATGAATTTGTTGCTTTTTTAAGTAGTTAATAGTAACATTCGGGAACGGAACATAATACAAAAAAACTTTTGGAACAATAGTTGTAGCGAATTTTGTTCTTAACAATATTGCTCTCTTGCACTTTTGCTCTCAGATGCGTCAATATCGAGCAAAACACAAAAATGTGAAAATTTGATGAATTTGTTGCTTTTTCAAATACTCAATGGTAACATTTGGGAAGCGAAGCATATTACAAAAAAACTTTTAGAACGAAAGTTGTAGCAAATTTTGTTCTTAACAATATTGCTCTCCTTCATTTTTGCTCTTAGATGCGTAAATAACAATCGAAGTTGTAAATATCGATAGATTATACAATATACCGATAAATCTACCTGATACCTATCCGGCCGATAAACTTATCGGGAGGATAAAGATATTCGATGTTGTACAAACTGTTTTGTCGGTACGATTGCTATCGGCGAAATACGAGTCGGTTGGTAGTAGTTTTTCCCCATAACTAGTGATTTGAAGTTTGAATTATGATTTTGAAAAAATTTTTCACTACAGACAACTGACACAATGTACCATACAAAATTTGTATTTAAAAACCTTGGTAACTAAGTAAATAAGTTAAGTTATCCTGCCGATAAAAATATCCGAATCGGAGCATGTTACAAAAAAACTTTTAGAACAAAAGTTGTAGCAAATAATGCAGCAAATAAATCTTTAATGTAATACTTTATTGTAATATAAACTAACTTATCGGCCAGATAACTCTGTCGGCAAGTTTATCGGTATATATCGCAAAATCTACCATATATTTATTCTGCCCAAGTTTTTTAATATTTCGATTTTTTATGAAATCCTTAAGATTTCGGTCGAATAACGTCAACGTATCGCGAGCTCCCCCTAATAGACGTTGGAGACCCGCGGGACTCCGCCCCTAATTTTCTACTTAACGCCCGACTTTCAGTTGGGGAGCGCAAAACGACCGATGATTTTGATTACGTTCGATGGGACTTAATGGACTGCATGGCACAAGAAAAATCTTAATCTCGTTCAATTGATTTATTTATAAACATAAAAACATTTTTGGCATAATTTTTGGTTAAGTTCATGATTTTATTATTGTTTTCGATGAAATTGGTTCTGACAGAGCAGCGGAGGAAGAAGAAAATGAAATAAGAGCGGACGATCGGCGTCAAAAGGTAGAAATTAGAGTAGACGGTGCGAATTTGGACACGTCGCGGGCTATGGCGGCGGCAGATGCTGAGGTGTCGGCCAATAAATCTAATAAAGTTTAAGTTGGAACACGAAGTTATCTCGTTTGCTGGCGGAATCTACTTTGCCGAAGTCGGCGCCCACGACGACGTCGATCGATCGAGATCGCGTTATTAAAAAGTTTCTCTTTACGCTTCGTTCGATTTATATACTTTCTTACCTTATAAACAATTATTATCGCATCAATTTTTAACTCAAAAATGAAATACTACCAAATAATAAAGAGATGGTAATTTAATCTCGTGTGCTTAATGGACAAAGAAAAGTTTTGGTAAATATTCAACAGTTCGATGACAAATTAGCACTTGCCCATGGGGCACATGTTTGAGGGGGAGAGGTTGTAGTACGAATTAGCAGGATTATTCAACCCCGGCTTTGCAAAAGGGGGCAGGACGGATTGATAGAGACACGGCACGGACATTGGGGCGTAATGCGAGGGGCGCAGCGCGAGTTATTATGGGATTACGCTTATTATCTGCCTAGTACAAGGAGTCGTCAACGGCAAATCACATTACCTTCTGTCAGAGGTCGACGAAATTGCAGGCCTTGTACCGAACCGGGAGCTAAAGAGAATAATTCCGCCCGAGATATGAGCGATATAGCGTCACTTAATATCAGCTATAATAATCTTAAAAATTTTCATTAATTAATAAAAAAATAATAAAAGATATGTACCTTAACATTTCATTAATTTCTAACTTGAATAATAAATGATTTTTAAGAAATAAGTTAAGAATAATTTCTTAATATCCATAAACACCCTACATTTTTGATTATTACTCATGTGTTTACAAGACTAAAAATTAAAAGATCATATCTCAAGAACCGTTTGAGATATCGTACTGAAATAAAGTATGTTTTGAAGCAAATTTAATCAAGATTTAATGCGCAATTCATAATTTCTTCGATTTCATAAACTTGGTTGTTATGATTTTTTAAATCCATCACTGCATGGCTAATTATTAGTCTTTGTGTTTAGACACGTTTAAATTTAAAGAATCGTATCTCAAAAACCAATAAAGATATCGTAATGAAATAAGAAGCATTTTGAAGCAAATTTAATCAAGAATTAATGTGCAATAAATAATTTCTTCGATTCCATACATCTCGTTGTTATCATTTTTTAAATCAAATTCTGCAAGTACTTTTTTACCAAAATTTATTAAAATTTAAAATAATCGTATCTCAAAAACTAATTAAGATATTTTAATGAAATAAGAAGCATTTTGAAGCAAATTTAATCAAGATTTAATGTGCAATAAATAATTTCTTCAATTTCATAAACTTGATTTTTATGATATTTTAAATCCATCCCTGCATATTGACATTTTGAAATCTTTATATTTAGACACATTCAAAGTTGAGAAATCGTATCTCAAAAATTAATTGAGATATTGTAATGAAATAAGAAGCATTTTAAGGCGAATTTAATCAAGATTTAATGTGCAATAAATAATATCTTCGATTCCATACATCTCGTAGTTGTCAATTGTTATATCAAACTTTGCAAGTTCTTTATTTAGCGAAATTTAAAATACTCGTATCTCAAAAACTAATTAAGATATTTAAATGAAATAAGAAGCATTTTGAAGCAAATTTAATCAAGAATTAATGTGCAATAAATAATTTCTTCGATTCCATACATCTCGTTGTTATCATTTTATAAATCAAATTCTGCAAGTACTTTTTTACCAAAATTTATTAAAATTTAAAATAATCGTATCTCAAAAACTAATTAAGATATTTTAACGAAATAAGAAGCATTTTGAAGCAAATTTAATCAAGATTTAATGTGCAATAAATAATTTCTTCAATTTCATAAACTTGATTTTTATGATATTTTAAATCCATCCTTGCATATTGACATTTTGAAATCTTTATATTTAGACACATTCAAAGTTGAGAAATCGTATCTCAAAAATTAATTGAGATATTGTAATGAAATAAGAAGCATTTTAAGGCGAATTTAATCAAGATTTGA